AAGCTCCCAGCCTCTCCTTTTTTTCTTTTTTCTTTTTTTCAGCGCCTCCTTGAGTGGAGGCCAGGGCTGGCTGGAAGCAGGTATCTGGGATTTATTTATCTTCTATAATTGAAAGTTTGTAGCCTTGAGTGGAGCCCAGGGCCAGCCAGGTCAGGCAGGAAGCTTGGCTTCCTCCATCACTGGGGCAACCCAAGCCTCCTGCTCGCTCCAGCTCCATGGCCACTGCCACCTCAGTTGGGTTATTTGCATACTCGCTCCTGATTGGCTGGTGGGTGTAGCAGAATGGCAGAGTGATGGTTAATTTACATGTTCCTATTTTAATAGTGTAGATTGCATAATTAAATTTTAATTACAGGATGTGAAATTTAATTATGTGTTTAGTGGTGTATTTTGCTAGAGCTGTTTAACAATGGAACCAAGGAGGAACCACTTTTGAGGGAGAAACTCTGATGAATTTTCTTTGATTAGGTTTACATTTTTAGGAGATATGCATGGAGAGGTAGCTAACACTTGGCCCTACAAATCTTGGGGATCTGTGCTAGTGATATTAATATAGAAGTCATCTCAAAGGCATTGGACCAAATCCATAATCATAGCTGAGTTTTCACAGAGATATTGCAATAGGGTTTGAGGATAGTTACTACAGCAGACCACTTTTGAGGTTGGGGGCAGCTGGGGAGAGGTCAATGGGGGGAAAAGGAGACTTATGTAATACTTTAAACAATAAATAATTTTAAAAAATAAATAAAAGCAATAGTTGAAATATAATTATCAGAGGAAAGTGAAAAAGACTAAAGTAAGAGATGAAATATTAAAGCAGAGTAACATAATTTAAAAAGGACAAGATTTCAAAAATGGAAGTGTCACTAATAAAAAAATGTTGAATATAAACTGTAATTGAAAAATAAAATAATGTTAAAACATGGAAGTGTTAAACAGGGTTAAATGATTCAGATATACTGAAGAAAATGTAAAGAAAAAAAATCCATTGATAGTGGTGATATGAAGGCTCTAGATTAGCGGTTCTCAACCTGTGGGTCATGACCCCTTTGGGGGTCGAATGACCCTTTCACAGGGGTCGCCTAAGACCATCGGAAAACACATATATAATTACATATTGTTTTTGTGATTAATCGCTATGCTTTAATTATGTGCAATTTGTAACAATGAAAATACATCCTGCATATCAGATATTTACATTACGATTCATAACAGTAGCAAAATTACAGTTATGAAGCAGCAACAAAAATAATTTTATGGTTGGGGGTCACCACACATGAGGAACTGTATTAAAGGGTCGCGGCATTAGGAAGGTTGAGAACCACTGCTCTAGATATTTTCTAGAATAGTTCTGATGGAGTCATGGAAGCAACAACCAAATTGCAATTGGGTGAAGATGAATAAGAAGCAAGAAAACAAGGTATCATGTTCAGGCTTCATTTCATGGCTGCTTGGATGAAAGAAAGAAGAGAAACAGGAGTGGTAACTAATGAGAAACACAAGGTTATAAAGTTTCAGCGTCCATATTTACCCTGAGTGAAAGGAGTAAAAGAGAGTAACCATTTGAGATATAAGTGAGAGATAACACTGTACTATTACCACCAATAATAAAAAGAAGTAAAGTAGCTAACATTTTATCATATTATACGACAGCTGCTGTATTCAGGTACTTTACATGAATTGTTATGGGTTTTTTTTTAATCCTCACATGGAATAAAATCTCTGAAAGAGCAGTTAGTAAAAGAAAGTTTGAAAAAATTTTAATAATCCTCACCCAAGAATATTTTGCCATTGATTTTTAGAGAGAGTGGAAGAATGGGGAGAGACAGAAAGAGAGAAACATCTATGTGAGAGAAACACATTGATTGGTTGCCTCCACAAGTGCCCTTAACCAGAATCAAACCTGGGACCTTTCAGGCCAACACTCTATCCACTGAGCCAAGCCGGCTAGGGTGAAAGATTAAAATTTATAGCAGTTATATAATTATGAAAATAAAACTGAAGACAACAAAAGCACAGAAATAAGATGTAGAGCAGGAGCCCTGAGGACACCACTAGTTATCCCCTCAGTGATTTATATCCATTTAGCCAAACAGGGTCATTAAGGGATAAGTCATTCATGCCTGCCTACTACATCCTATATATTCTAGTATATTAAAAAATGAGAAGTTATGAATATATATTTTAGCTTTTGAATAATTTTAAACAAAAATAATTTGTTCCTTGAAAGTTTACATTGGAAAAATTTCAGGTAGAATACTTGATTTATTTAGGTTGAATGATTTGGGTCTATAATATTTGAGGTATGCAATTATCGTTTGTTTTTTATTATAACAGAGGAAACCATCAGTATGGACAAAGTAAAATAATACATAATTAAAACATTCAATACAGTTGCTTTTAAGATACAATTTATATTGGATATCTTACATCAGAATTTTCTAGCCATACATTCTTGAATGGAGATTTAAATTAGTTAATATTTAATCATTTACCATGAAGCAAAGGGATTCCTGGAAATCTTAGGGAACAAAAATTAGGATGGGTTTAAGTATAATCCTGTTGGTTGCAGATGAATCAGATTTCTGAGAAGGGGTTGGGGTCTTGGAACCAGAGCTGTTCCCTGAATTTAAAAAAGACATGGGAGTTTACTCACTTCTAGGTGCTGTGTAGAAGTTCTTTCTGGAAGACAAAGCATGGAATCAGAAGGATATGACAACAAATATAGATGGAAATATAGATGGAGTGGTCTTGGCAAGCAGTTTGCATCAGGTCATGCAGTACAAAGTAGCAAAGGAGTTGTGCAAGACACAGCGTGCATAAGAGCTCACCAGAAATCCAGCAGTCCAGTAAGCAGACAGACAATATACAGGCAGCTTGTTGGAGGTGGAATTCTAGGGAAAAGTGGTAGGATCTGGCCATTGTAAATCCCTGGACCTAGTTGCTAGGGGCAAATACCAAGACAAGGATCACAAATGAGTGGGGAAAGATAGGTTTAGGTATCAAAACTGAGACAGTCCAAAACCATGCTAGTCACAAGGATGTTGTTACAAGGGATTCATTGAACCTGCCCTGTCCAGAGTCAGAAAAGAATAAAGGAAGACAACAAAGCCAAGTAAGCTGGTCAGCTGAAGAAATGCTACTTAAGCTCAGAAGACAAGGCAAGGAGAGGCTGGAATGACTTTTTGTTTTATTTATGATTCGTGGTTTGTAGCAAATCTATTTCTAAAAATATTTAAGGCAACTAAGGCAGCACTTAAAATTTCATGTGCAAATAATCAGATCTTGATTAATTAAAATGGAGTTTTAAGTACTGGAATCAAAGATAAAACAAGACAGAATTTAATCAACAATTTTTTTAACCATGAGTGACTTACTTCATGTGAGTTTATTAATTTCCTTATACTTGAAAAATTACTGTACTTTTTCATATTACATAAAATTCTGTAATGGTCCATGAATAGGGTCTGACTTTTAAAAGTCAACTACAAAAGACCATGTATTCACATATGATTACTGTGTAGATGAAAATTACCCAACTTCTCCATTAATCTGCTAATTAACTGTTTACTAGAGTGGGAAGAAAATGGACACAGATATATAGAGGTCTATTGTATGAGGACTGTGTGAACATCAAACATAGTGGTCATGAACCTGTGCTGTCCAGCAAATCTGATTGTAAGATATAAATGGTGATACTACACAAGGCCTATTGCTTCTCAGGTGGAAGGGCACAGAAAGTTTTGTGTGCATAATAAGGTTTGGATTATTTCTATATGCTTACATTTTTGTATGGAAAACTAGAGAATCAAAGAGATATGAAAGGACTTTAACATCTGGAAAACACATGAAAAAGGACTGAAAAGCACTTGGATTTTTTTTATATAATTGCTTTTACATGTACACATTATATTTTTAATGGGTGTGTAAGCTATCAATAGGACACAGATTTCCATTTTATTCTACATTTTATTTATGATTTACTTATTTTATTTTTAATTATATTTTTATTGATTTTAATTATATTTTTATTGATTTTAGAGAGGAAGGAAGAGGGAGAAAGAGAGAAACATCAATGATGAAAGAGAATCATCCATTGACTGCCTCCTGCACACCACACACTGGGGATCAAACCCACAACCCGGGCATATGCCATGACCAGAAATCGAACTGTATCCTCCTGGTTCATATGTCCATGCTCACTGAGCCACTCTGGTGGGCTTATTCCACATTTTAAGAATATACATGGACCTTGAGAATATCATCCTAAACAAAATAAGTCAGTCAGAAAAACCATATAATTTCACCCATATGTGGGATATAAAACCTAAATTCATAGACACAGACAAAGTAAGGTAGTGAAGCAGGTGTGGAGGTAGTAATAGGTAAAGGAGGCCAAATATATGGTGATGGGAAAAGACTGTGTGCACAAGTACAATATACAGAAATGTATCACAGAAGTGTATATTTGAAACCTATATAATCCTTTTAACCAATGTCACCCCAATAAATTTAATAATTCAAAAAAGTATATATAGGTGTCTTTAATGAGGTCATTTTGAAAGAAATTATCATTTTACTAAAACTTAGCTAAATAACATATATTCACAACCAACAATATAGTGATGGCCAGAGGAAAGAGGGAACAGGGGTTGGGTAGAGGTGGGCAAAGGGAGGGGGAAATGCGGACATCTGTAATAGTGTCAACAATTAAAATAAAGTTATAAGAAATGGACTATTTACTTTGAATACCATGAAGATAACAGAAGAAATTATAATTTTATTATTTTTCTTTTCACATATGATGTGACATCATTTATATGAAGCACTGAGAAAAGCAAAATGAATGAATGAATTAATTAAATATTTAAAGGCATGTTAATTCTGTTCTCTGCATTAAATATAATTTCCTTTTCAACCACTTGTCAACAATTTTTCAAATTCATAATGTATTGCATTCTAAATTTCTGCATGTTATTGATAGAAATGTTTGGACTTACGTTGAAAATGCATTATTCTGCTTTTCACATCGTATGCCTTTGCAGTTTAAACCTTTTGTTTCTTCATAGTAGAAATATAATTGATTTAGGCCATTAGCAAATGCTAACAACACAAGGCAGTATATGAATAGAAACTTCAAAATGTCCAGGAGCATTCTTCCCAAAGATATTTGCAGAGGCCCCAAGTGAGAATTTGCAGTAAATAGTGAGATCAAGCGTAGGGAACTGAAGATGTTTGCAATTGCAAATAAAGCTTCAGCCACCAGAGTGGGATGCCACATGTCCCAAGATTCTCGAGGATTAAGAGCACTGTACTGAAGAAAAGAGAAAAACAAAAAGTAAAATAAATGCATACATATAAATATGTCAGACCAGGATACTTTTTCAGGAAGCTGATGTCCTCCACAACAATGGCAGCAATACTAATCAGAAAAAAAAAGGTATCTAAACTAATAAAAGACAAAGATGCTAACTGACCGTACCATTGCTATGCCCAAAGCCATGCCCACCAGCCAATCAGAGCGACTATATGCAAATTAACCCAACCAAGATGGCAGCCGGCAGGCACCCAGCTGGAGCAAGCAGGAGGCTTGGTTGCCCCGGCGATGGAAGAAGCCAAGCTTCCCGCTGGCCTGGGACAGCTGTGGCCTCTGCAAAAGGCAACAAAGTTTCAATTATAGAAGCTAAATAAATCCCAGATACCTGCTTTCAGCCAGCCTCCACTGGGAGTTTGGGTGGCTGGGGGCTGTGGCCAGCTGGCAAACAGCCATCAGCCCCTCTCCCAGGATGGCCACACCCTCATGGGGTGAGGGTCCCTGCTGGGGTCTTGGCCAGCCTGCAAACAGCAATCAGCCCCTCATCCAGGCTGGCCAGACATCCCAGAGGGGACTCTTACCCTGAAGGGGCTGTGGCCAGCCTGCAAACAGCCATTAGACCCTCACCCAGGCTGGCCACACCCTCAGGGGGTGAGGGTCCCTGCTGTGGGGCTGGCAAGCCTGAAAATGGCCTTCAGCCCCTCACCCAGGCTGGCCAGGCACCCCAGCAGGGACCCCCACCCTGAAGGGGCTGTGGCAAGCCTGAAAATGGCCCTCAGCCCCTCACCCAGTGTGGCCAGGCACCCCAGTGGGGACCCCCACGCTGAAAGGGGTGTGGCCAGCCTGAAAACGGCCCTCAGCTCCTCACCCAGGCTGGCCGGGAACCTTTGCAGGACCCCCACCCTGATCCGGGACACCCTTCAGGGCAAACCAGCCGGCCCCCACTCATGCACCAGGCCTCTATCCTATATAATAAAAGGGTAATATACAAATTGACCCTAACAGCAGAGCGACTGGGAATCAATGGTCACTATGACACACTAACCACCAGAGGGCAGATGCTTAATGCAGGAGCTGCCCCCTGGTGGTCAGTGTGCTCCCATAGGGGGAGCTCTGCTCAGCCACAAGCCAGGCTGCCGGCTGCAAGTACAGCAGTGGTGGTGGGAGCCTCTCCTGCCTCCTCAGCAGCGCTAAGGATGTCCAACTACAGCTAGGCCTACTCCTCACTGGCAAGTGGACATCCCCCGAGGGCTTCCGGCTGCCAGAGGGATATCTGACTCTCAGCTTAGGCTCAGTCCCACGGGGAGTGGGGGCCTAAGCCAGCACGTGGTCATCCTCCGAGGGGTCCCAGTTGCGAGAGGGCACAGGCTGGGCTGGGGGACCCTCCCAAGTGCACAAATTTTTGTGCACCAGGCTTCTAGTCCTATATAATAAAAGCCTAATATGCTTAGTGTCCAGTTGTTTGTTCAACCGATGAAAGTGTAATATGCTATTGATATGTTACGGTCACTCAACCACTCGCTATGACGTGCACTGACTCCCCGGGGGCAGATAGTCAACTGGTAGGTTAGCTTGCTGCTGGTGTATGACCAATTGGGACTGAAGGAGATGGGACGGACATACCCTGGAGCCCTCCTGTGGTCCCTCCCCAGCTGGTCAACTTCCCATCTCCCTCCTTGGCACTGGTTGTGCACCAATGGGGCCCATCTGCCTGGCTTGTGCCTACTCACAATCTGGGACCCCTCAGGGGATGTTGGAGAGCCAGTTTCAGCCCGATCCTGCAGGCCAGGCCATGGGATCCCACTGGTGCACAAATTCATACACTGGGCCTCTAGTTAATTTATAATTTATAAACTTCAATTAAAGTGACTTCCTGATCTGTCCTTGACTTTTGTAGTATTCATTAATATGTGAATTACATCTACTCTTGCCTTTCCAATGGAATTTCAAAAAAAGAAGTGTTATATAGGGGGAAATCTGATTTTACAATGGAAAAATATAGCAATATCATTGTAACAAAGAAAAATACATTACAAATGAAAGGCACTAAATTTTTAACAAAGTAACAATGACTTTACTTACCATATTTGAAACACTTGGCTATTCTAGAGAAATGCATGTATGATACAAATTACATATAAATGAGTGGAACTAGTGGTCGGTTACTGTGGAAATAGTAATGGCCAATATGGGCATAACAGTTAGTACTTTGTATCTGTTATATCTTAAATGTAAATAAAACCTAACTTACAAATCATCCTGGATGTCAATGAATTGCTATTTTTAAAATATTTAATGTGTAGATAATGTGATATTTATCTTAACATTCCTTAATTATATAACACTAGAGGCTCGGTGCACAAAAATTTGTGCACTCGGGGGTGGGGGGTGGGAGGAGGAGGAGGGTCCCTCAGCCTGGCCAGTTCCCTCTCGCAGTCTGGGACCCCTCAGGAGATAACGACCTGCTGGCTTAGGCCTGCTCCTGGGTGGCAGAGTGCAGGCCCAATCCCTGGGTGCAGCCCCTGGTCGGGCTCAGAGCAGGGCTGATTGGGGAGTTGAGGCGCCAACCCCTGCCATGCACAGAGCAGGGCGGATTGGGAGGTTGCGATGCCACCCTCAGTCACGCTCAGGGTAGGGCCGATTGGGGAGTTGGGGCACCACCCCCTGTCACACTCAAGGCAGGGTCAATGGGGAGGTTGTGGCACCACCCCCTGTCATGAACAGAGCAGGGCCAATCAGGGGGTTGGGAAGCTCCCCCCTGTCATGCACAGAGCAGGGCTGATCAGGGGGTTGGGGCGCCGCACCCTGTCACACTCAGGGCAGGGCCGATGGGGAGGTTATGGCTCTACCCCATCATACACAGAGCAGGGCCCGTGGGGGGGGTGTTGGGGCACCACACCCTGTCACACACAGAGTCATAGAGCGATCAGGGGGTTGGGGAGCTGCCTGCTATCAGGCACAGAGCAGGGCTGATCAGGGGGTTGGGGTGCCTTCCCCTGTCACGAACAGAGCAGGGCCGATAGGGAGGTTGTGGCCCTGCCCCCTGTCACACACAGAGCCACAGGGCAATCAGGGGGTTTGGGCGCTTCCCCCTGTCACACTGATCCCGGTGCTGGGAGGCATATTACCCTTTTACTATATTGGATAAAGGCCTGGTGCACGGGTGGGGGCTGGCTGGTTTGCCCTGAAGGGTGTCCTGGATCAGGGTGGGGGTCGCCACTGGGGTGCCTGGCCAGTCTGGGTGAGGGGCTGAAGGCTGTTTGCAGGCTGGCAGGTGACTGAAGCTCCCAACCTCTCCTTTTTTTCTTTTTTTTTTTTTTTTAAATTCTGGGCCAGCTTTAGCTCTGAGGCTTGGCTCCAGCTTTTAGGTCTTGGCTGCCGAAAGCAGGTATCTGGTTTGTTTGGGTTCTATAATGGAAACACTGTTTCAACTCCAGCTCTGAGATCCCGGCTGGCTGAAAGCAGGTTTCTGGGATTTTGTTTAGCTTCTATATTTGTAACAATGTTTCAAACTGCAAGCTCATAGGCCGGCAGCGGCAAGCGGGGAATGTTGGAGTCCTCCTCCACTGAAGCAAGCAAGCCTCATGTTCGCTTCAAGCTGCCTGGCTGCCAGCCACCATCTTGGCTGGCAGTTAATTTGCATATCCTGCTGATTAGCCAATGGGAAGGGTAGCAGAGGTACGGCTAATTACCATGTTTCTCTTTTATTAGATAGGATGTGATTTGAGAAAAATATTTGCTAGATTAAACTTTGACCAGCAATTATTTTATGTTAAATAAATGTCAGCTTTGAATTATCTTCATATTAAGCTATGTAAAGAGCACAATACAATTTGTTAGTTGTAGCATTAAAGTAAATTTTCTGCTTTTCTTTTTTTTAAAAAAAGGAAGTCAAATATACTCTTTGAAATATTCCATTATGAAACCCTATAATTATATATGTATAGGAAGTGAATAATAAATTGAATTTACTTCTCCATATATTTCACTAAAAAATATGTCTAGACTACTGCATCTTTTTTCCTGTCAGAACAAACTTTCTGCATCTGTATGAGTCCAATCAGAATATTTTCTTTCTCTTTATATTTTATTTTATAGCAATGACTTTACAAATGTTAATTCTCTTAAAAATAATAGATAGTATTTTTTTAATCTCCCTGAGGAAAAAAACACATCACAAGTAACTGATTTTGTTCAACAGACTCTTGCTTGGGTGACAATTTAAAACAATCAAGTTTGCCACAGTGCCTGTATCAATCTGCATTTCCATCAATTGTGCATGAGGGCTCCCTTTTGTCCATATCCTTGCCAACACTGGTTGTTTGTTGATTCATTGATATTAGGATTTTTCTCAAAAAATTAAAATTGGAACTTCCATATGATGCGGTGATTCCACTTCTGGAAATATATCCAAAGAAACCTGAAACACTGATTTGAAAGAATATATACACTCCTAAGTTCAATGCAGCATTATTTCTAATAGCCAAGATTTGGAAGCAGCCCAAGTGCCCATGTATATTTATAAAACCCTAATATGCAAATAGACCAAACAGCAGAACAACCGAACCACCAGTTGCTATGACAAGCGCTGACCACCAGGGGGTATGACGGAACATGGTGGGCGTCAGCAGTAGGCAGAAGAGTGCGGAACATAGCAGGTGTTGGCCACGGTGGGAGTGTGGAGTATGTGAGCAAGGGTGCCAGACCAAGGCGGGGCACCGGTTGCTGTCATCGAGGTAAGCCTCTGGTGGTTATTGAAAATCCTTTGCTCCTGAGAGGTGATCAGGGCCAGCAGCCACATCTTGCACCCACTGCCAGCGACAGCCCCACTTGCACCTGCTGCCAGTGCCAGACCCACTGCTTGCACCCACTGCCAGCACCCAGTGCCAGTTCTGATCACTCGGCACTATCAGCGGGTGCTAGAGGCAGCTGCCAGCCCTGATCACCCCTGAGGGCTTCTCCACCTCACCCTGCTCCTGAGGGGTGATCGGGGCAGCAGCCACCAA